TTTTGAAACGAGGTCTCATTATATAGCTTGGAGCTCACTATGGAGACCAGGTTGGCATCAAACCTGCAACCATCCTGTTGCCTTTAGCTCCTGAGTGCTGGGATTATAGGTGTATGTCATCAAGCCTGACATAGAAAACATTTTTTGTTTATTGTGTCAAAATCAGTACAAGTCTTAACTCTTGTTTAAATGGAATATATTAGTACATATTTACTCCAATGGAGGAAAGTCAGAATTGTTAGCTTCCTAGCACATTTCCCTCTGCGTTTGGAAAACTCACTAGTTTTGAGCCATGATAGAGTAGGAACCAGTGGGCAGGGTGTTGAGTAGATGGCAGGGCAGTGCAATCAGGTAAGTCATCCCATACTGGCTCTGCTTATTGTATCCAGGAGCAAAGCCTTGACCCCAGCTGTGAGACATTCACATTGGTCAAGTAATTCCGGAAGCCATAGATTTTAATTTCTTATGTATTGGGGCATTTTATGATCAGAGGACAACTTAGGAGGGTCAGTTCTCCCCCACCCCCTTGTATGTGTCCCAGGGAATCAAACTCCGGTCATCAGATAGCAGATGCCTTTATCTGCTGAACCCTTTGCTAGCCCAAACCGTGGGCTGTTTGTTTGTTATTGTCATTTTGAAATGAAATCTCCCAAATTTAACTCTACTTAGAGTATAAAATAAGAGTACCTAAGCAAAAATGTCATCTGTGAGCACTTCCTGGGCATGGCCCTGGGCCACAAGTATAGGTTCCCAGCTCAGAATTCTGCATTCTACTGTGGTCATATATGAGCCTTAAGTTGTGTTCCAGTTTAGTCTCCCCGTTGGGATCTGGGGTGTCCGGGGAAATGACAGCTTCTGAGTACCTGCTTATTTGGAGCAGCCAGGATGGCTAGAGGGTCCTTGACCACCTAAGGTTCTGTTTGGTTCCCTGGGGACTCCCTCCTGCTCAGAAGGTGAGCTCTGTGTCTAACCCCAGCACACCTCACCTGCATCTTGCTACATCTAGATTGTGCTCAGATTTCATTTGACAAACAGCAGGAGGTTAGCAGTTGAGAGGAGCAGCCAGGAATGTGTGAGCAGCTTTGTCCTGTGCTTTTCTGTAGCATGTACACCTAGAGAAAAATCCACCTTCATTTTCCAGCAGTCTGACATCCAGCCAGCAGACAAAACCCTGGCAACCCTAAGCTAGTCCTTCAGACATCTCTGTTTGAATGTTTTATGCTGCTCCTGAGAGTTCAGATGGACTTACTCTCTAGACAATTGAAGTTTCTCTCCAAGGCCTGTTTCCATTCTCTGATAAAGACTTGGGAATCCTTCAAGAAAGCCACATTCGGTGGTTTTGTACATCTATAGCATGTAGAACCACGTTCCAGCAAGGATGTCTAACCACCAGGTCACATGGAGCTGAAGAAAGCTATGGATGCAGCCGAACACAAAATTACTTAAGACTTTTTTTTTTCAGTTGTATTTATTTATTGTAACATGATGTATCCCCATTCTCAAGTGCAGACTTAGTAGATGACAGCATCAAAAGTTTGGACGCCTGTTACTTTCATTTCTGTTGCTGTGATAAAAAATGCCCTGATGAAAAGCAATTTCAAGGAAAAAAATTTTATTTCCGCTCACAACTCCAGATTACAGTCCATCAGTGGAGGCAAGTCAAGGCAGGAACTTGAAGCAGCCAATCGCATCGTATCCACAGTCAAGAGCAGAGAGAGATGCATGTGCCAGTCCTTCCTGTTTGGCACACTCCATATGCTCTTACCACACAGTACAGGGCCCATAGCCAGGGACTGGAGTGGGTGGCCCTTCCCACATCAATTAAAACAACTAGGGCAGTGCCCCACAGACGTACCACAGGCCGCCCGTCACCAGACCACCTTCAGAGGCGCTTCTAAAACGTGGGTATCACAACGCCCTCATGGAGAATGGACAGAGGAAACATTGGCTGTGGTGTTGAGCATTATCACCGCAGACCAAAGATAGACAAGTTCATTTTGAGTTTCTTAGGTGTTTGGGCCTCATGGCCTAAAGCCGGCACAAAAGGCATGTAGGCAGAATCATCGTGACATATTGTTAATTGGCAGCAGCCTCTAAAGGCTGCACAGGGCCAGAGGGCCTGGAAGACCAAGGAGGAAGCTTTCCCCTCACTCCCTGATGCATAGAACCTATTTTTGTTTTTACTTCGTTGTTCTGAAAAGGATCCTCCTAGCCTGGAACTCTCTCTGTAGCCCAGGCTGACCTGGAGCTGGCTTCCTGTCATCCTGTGTCCACCTCTCCAGTACCGTGGTTTAACGTGTACCCTTTCCATCCTGTTAGCTGTGTTCCACGGTTTCTGTCTTCAGGGACCCCGTGGGATAGAAGTCAGAGCAAACCAGGGGAGACACTGGGGTAGCATGTGCTGGCTCCTCACTAAACACAGGTTTATGTGCGTGCGGCATCCTGGAGCCCAGGAAAACAGTGTGAGTACCAGAGCTGGTGGCAATCATGCCAGCAGAGAAGCAGCCAGCTGGCTTGAAGCAAGGCCCAGGGAGCAGCCTCAGCACTGGGACCCCGAGTCTCACTGCCCTCCCTCCTTTACATCCCAGCCCTGCTCTTCTTAATCAAGCCTTGCTCTTGAGACCCTAGAGGCAGTGGACCCAGGAGAACAGCCTGGCAGAGGGGTTACAGCAGGAACATGGCTGGCACAGGCTAGCAGAGGCCCAGCTCTGTCCCTTGTGGAGGGATCCCCTCACCTGTCTTGAAGGATGCTGCCTCTGTACTGTCGGATTGTATTTACAAGAGGCGGCTTCAGGGTGGCCTCAGAGGAGGCATGTGAAGAACCCCAGCAGCTGTGTGTGATGTCTCCTTGGTAACAGTGGCCCCTCCCCAGCTGCTAGGAGGAGTAGGTCAAGAGCAGAGTCTTGTTATTCATGGCACTGCCCACAGACATGGGCCTCGGAATATTTCTCTTCCTTTCCAGGGTGTTAAGACATACCTGTGCCTTCAGATCATAACAGCTGGAGGAGGCTGGCCCTGGGGCTTTGACCAGAACCCCTCACCCACATACCAGCACACGCGCTTGCACGCGCACGCACACATGACCGTGCACCTGGTCTACACATCTGTGGGGATGAAGAGCTTTGCTTGCAGGTGTGGTTGTGTTACTAGTTTGTGTTTAGAGTTCTTCAAGGTCCACTCACTCACAGAACCTGGATCTCTAGACACCTGGGAGCAGGTGGCCTGGGACTCGGCCTTTTGAGCACTCTTAGGCCTGCTTTTCTGGTCCCTGGACCTCACTGTGAGCAGCGAAGTCTGTGGCCTTCAGTTCTTTCCCTTTGTGTCACTTCGGGATTTTGGTCTGCACTCACATGCGTGATTTCCCTTATGACATTCAAACCATACTCGGTTCCGACAACAGCAAAGAATAGGTGTTCTGTTCCGGTTTTGCATTTAATGTAGAGGCATTCTGGTGCTGGTTGATATGGACTGTCAACTTGAATGGTCACAGAGTGACCAGGGAGTCGTGTCTGTGACTGGGTTTAGAGGAGGTGAAAAGACTCGACCCTAAATGTGAATGACAGTATTGCCTGAGCTGTAGCCACGCACCAGATCAACCTGGAGGGCCCAGTAGACTTCCTGGCACTGGACTTCCTGGCTATTGTTAGAATGGTGACCAATGAACCGTACCCCCAAACTGTGAGCCAAGCACGAACTTCTTCCCTTAAGTGGTTTTCCTGGGGTGTTTGGTCCTAGCAATGAGAAAAATAACCAGTACAGACTCCATTTAGCGTCTTGTGGCGTTCTTTTCCATGTACTGCCTCTAGCAAAGGACTCTAACTTGCCTGTGTGTGTGTGTGTGTGTGTGTGTGTGTGTGTGTGTGTGTGTTCATGTGGCTATGTGAGTGTGCAAGAATGCATATTCTTTCAGCACCATCCCTCATCCACCAAAATCAGAAGCCTGATTTTTTTTTTTTTTTAAGCCTAATTTTCCAGAAGAAAATCTGAAAGTTGGCCAGACTTGGGAACTACTAATAGGCTACTCACTTAACAGTCCCACCCCATGAAAATCCTCAGTTCTAAACTGAGACAGTTTAGTACATACTGGGTTCTGAACCAAAACAACTAGAAAAATTAAAAATTATGAAACCAGTAGCCGGGCATGGTGGCACATGCCTTCTCTGTGAGTTTGAAGCCAGCTGGTCTACATAATGAGTTCCTGGACAGCCTGGGCTATGTAGACAGACCCTGTTGAGAAACCCTGTCTTTACAGGAAGAAAAAAAAGCCAGTATCTCCAAAGATCCACAAAACTGTCTAACAGTCCCAAGCAGTGGTCATGATTGGCTGAGCCTTAGGGGGGAAAAGTACTTAATTATATTTTTGAGTCCAAAGTTTATGTGACCAAGCATGTACTTTGATGTTGAGCAACTGACTCAAGCCATTAAGCGTACAACAGAACCGTCTTTCTTCCCTGTCTGTGTGAGCTCTGAAGCCACTGGGATGACTTTTTTGTTCTGCAGAATCTTTACAGGGTCAGGAGTCAGGGTTTCCACCTCCACCACGGTGCCTCTAGAGATTTAGTCATGTTGATCATAAGGCCGCCCTATGAGCAGCATCCCCTGGTACCAGACAGTCGACTCCCAGTGGGTGAGCCTGTATAGATAGGTCCGTGCCACCAGCCTCTGTGGTACCCTTTTTGTCCTGTGGTGGCTCTTTTTCTGGACTCACTGTCTTTAGAGATTGCAGTAGGGCCACTCATCTTTGTAACAGTTTCGTGGGCAGTTATCTGCAGCCTTCCTTCACCGTTGCTCAGTGGGGGCCCCATTGGGGTCCACAGCAGCCTTTCCTTCCTTGTGATCTTGTGCCGTATGATGCGTCCTTTGATTTGCCACATAAGCAGGATGACGGCAGAGCACAAAGGTCAGGTACGTGTGCCAGCTTGAAGCCCCATAGACGAGGTCGCGCTGGCTTCTGTGGTCTGCAGTCCGTCGTGGTGTTCACCTGACTTGTTTATTCCTAGGGAATGTCACTAGTGCGTCTGGGTCTCAGATGGCAAGCGGCATCAGCCTGGTCTCCTTCAACAGCCGACCCGATGGCATGCACCAGCGCTCCTACTCTGTCTCCAGTGCCGACCAGTGGAGTGATGCTACAGTCATTGCAAACTCAGCCATCAGCAGTGGTAAGAGGGGGCACAGACCGCGGCCATCTCCAGGTCCTGTGTGAAAGCCAGGGGCTGGGCTCAATGCCCAGGGCATCCATGCTCCATGGGGAGCATGGTGCCATGGGGCTGCTATGACAGTGGCACCCATGTCTCACCAGTCATCTGTAAGCACTTTGTCCTTGATCTCCTGTCTCATCCACATCCCATCATTCATCTGTTCTCCGCTGGTCAGGATGTAGACCTTGAACCCTCTTCACTGGTCAGGTTTGAAGTTGTGGCTGTGGATGGGACAAGTATCTTACCGGTAGTTACACGTCAGGGATATAGTGTCAGAAGTTTCGTGCCAGCCTTCTGCCCTTCGTGGATCGCTAGCATCTCACCCTTTGGACATAGTTTGTACTGTTTAGTCAATTCATTCTCTCTTAGGCTTACAGGGTTCCTGGTGTAGGTTCTGGGGAATCCCCTATGCCATCATGTCTCCTAGATGTCCATGGTTTTTGACAAGTGTGGCCTGCTTCTTGGGGGACAGATGTGGCACCCTGGAAACTGCCTTTTGACGTATGTGTGACAACATGAATTATGCAGTGTGCCTCCGCCCCGTGCGCTGGCTGGTGCAGCTTGCTTTGCTTGTGGCATTCTGTCTGTGGCCTGTTCACCGGTATTTAAGGGAATTCCCACTGTTGCATGTAATCTATCAGACAGGGTTTGAGAGTCATTTTAGCATAATTTGTTCTAATTAAAAGATTCCACGTCAGGTCTTCCCTGTGGACCCACCAGCTGCTGCAGCAGGATGCTTGCTTTGGGTACACACCATCTTACTTCTGGTTGCTCCACGGTGCTCCAGCAGACAAGGCCAAGCAAATGCTTCCTAGGAAGACTGCCCGGATGCAAGAGAGAAGTGGGGTCAGGAAAGGCGGTCTGAACCGAGAGGTTTCTGACAGCTAGTTTCCAGGGGTTGGCTAGAAGGGCAGGAGCCCAGGCTGTTCCCAAACACTGGGTACCATGTGCCACCTCCCTCCAGGTAGTGCCATCCCACCTTTTAATGCATAGATCCATCAGGGACCAGCCCCAAGCTCCACCATTTTTAAGGACTACAGGAGCACAGAAGCCTATGGGAATTTAAGTAAAAAGTGTAAGTGCATTATAAGACCTCTCATCGTCAAACATTCTCATTCCGTGCTTCATGGTAGTAACTGAGGAGACAAGCAGGAGAGGGCTTTCCATCATGTTTTCCTTTAGTTGATACAAGACCCTTCTTTTTATAATCACTTTATCCACACCTAACCGCGTCCTCTCTCTCTCTCTCTCTCTCTCTCTCTCTCTCTCTCTCACACACACACAAACACACACACACACACACACACACACACACACACACACACACACACACACCACCCATCTCTGGTCTGTATGTCAGGGTTACCAGCGGCTTGCCATATGGCAGCTTTGCAGGCAGGGCCCAGAAGTATTAGCTTAGCCTCCACCAGCATAGTGAAGGGCTTATCTTCAGGCCCAGCACTAAAAGTCGTTTTCTCTGCCCTGAATTAAGATTTCAGCTTCAGAGAACTTTTCAATCTTTCCCCTTTGACACACGGGTACCCCTGGGGCTTCTGCCTCTAAGCGGCTGCGAGCAACTCCTAATTAGATAGATGACTGTGCAGTGGGTAAAACTGGGAGAAGGAGGCGCTGGCTGAATTAAGAGGAGAAGGCTGGAGGAGCCCGTTCTGTGAGATGGAATGCCCCACTGCTTATGACTGTTGCTGTTGTAGGACTTTGCATTCAAATACCTGAGTGTAAAATTAAACATCTAATATAATTTGGCATTGCTAACGTGAGCCCGGCATCTGCCCTCAGAGAAAAACCCAGACAGCTCTGTTCAGGGTTTCAAATTGCTGTCTGCTGGCTTGCGAGCAACACCGGGGATTGGATCCCTCTTCCACTAAGTACCACATGCTGCGCCGTGTAATTTTTTAAACGCCGAGTACATTCGTCTCGCACTTCCGCACTGAAAAAGGCTGTTCCAGTAGTACATGAAAAATTAATTTTTTTACATTTTTCCTCACTCTCCTAAGTGTTTGACAGAAGTAATTTTTGCAGCAAGAGAGAATAAAAAACTGGTGGCTGTAAATTCCTGTCCTGGAACCTCTTGTGTAGATTCTTTATGGACCCAGAATTGATCTACATGTCAGATCCTGTTGTGGTCTCAACTGTTTATCACCGTAATGGCAGTAGTGAGCCCTGGAACACCAACTTATAATCCTGGGTGAAAGAAATTGGTGTTTGCAGTCAATGAAGAGGAGCTTAGCATTATTGATAGATTCAGAACAATTATCTCTGCAGCAACTATTGGCTGAGGGTTTCCTCAACCCTTACTGGAAGCCCGTAATTTTTTATTTTTTATTAATCATCTTCTTACGAGTAATTTTCTCTGGAAGTGTTAGTCAGGAGTGAGCATTCCTGCTTCGAGCAGGGGGCCCTGGAGGGCTATCTATAGCAAACTTGGTTGTCATAGCACACTTCAAGGCGAGATGTTTGTTTTAGATGCATCACCTCTGTGCCAAGGGCAAGAAGCAATGTCAAGGCCCCCTGTGCATCAGTCTTCCGGTGTTCTGGAATGTCTGGTGCAGTCTGCCACTCCCCACCACCACCACAAATACCCATACCCACCCCACCCCTTGTAAGTGCCAGGCTTGGCTGATGGCCTCAGCTGTGGCCGTTGCTGTGGCAACAGCACCCTCACCCCTCCTCCCGACTGCGAGGTTGTTCTGAGAGCTCCACCCTTCCACAGATTGCTTCAATCCAACAGTTTATCTTCTGCCTCAGTAACTGGCTGCCATAGCGAATACATTTCCTCATACGACTTGTCAGCACTCTGCAGTGCCCCGGGTTCATGTACCATTTGTTTTGGGTTTTTGGTTTTTTTGTTTTGTTTTGTTTTTTTGTTTTTAATGTTTCTACAGGGAAATTGTACCTGACATCTGTGTGCCTATACTTGTACCTGCGTGGGGATGGGGGTCCTCCAGTCAATTATGTGACTTCCTTCCTGCTACGATCTATGGTTGTTCGTCAGTGGGTCCTGATAGAGAAGTCCTAATTTCCAAGGATTTTTCCCATTGTGGAAATGTTTTGCAGGTCTGGTAATTCTCTGTACTTTGTTTTGTTGTTATAGCTTTTGGTATACCCCATCTAAGAAGGTCAGCAACCCTTAATTTGAGAACAGAAGGGCTCCAGTAATCATGCTGTCCCTGTGGCTAAGGACCATAACTTCTTCAGTGTCTCTGTTTTGTTTGAATCTGATGGTTTGGGGTATTTGTTTGGGGGAATTAGATGTTTGTCTATGGATATTATACTGGCAATTCAAGGACCTAACCAGAAGGTGGCTGTAGTGTGCCACTGCTTGGCTTTGACCAAGTTGGTAATTTAGGGAACTTTAATGGGGGGGGGGGGGTAGAACGTGTTTCATGTCCCATACCTGACATTCATTCTTTGGGAACCGTGACACACTAAGAGCACCCCCTTAACAAGTATCCACATTCACACCGGTCTTTTAGGTTCTTTTCCTTCTGTGGTTTTGTTTCCTAATTTTCTAAAGCAGGGCTCCAGTGGAGAAGCATACAAATTACCTGTCTTTTTTACAGTGCTTGCTTTTTTAGGGAGCTGTGTGATGGAAGAGACGGGTGTTTTCCCTTCTACCATGGATCGCGAACACCCGTCTGTCAGTCCCTCCCAAAGCTTCATGCGTTGGAGAAGCATTTCCTGGTTAGTCAACCCTGTGCTACCACATCTCAAAGCCTGATAATCCTGTCTCAGGCCCCTGCAGGGCAGGGGTCTGCTCCACACACCACGCTAGGCGGCCTCATTAGAAGGATGACCCAGGCTCCCTTCTCTGCATGTGGTCTGAGAGAAAGCAGGAGCTTCCTGGGTAGCCAGCCACAGGGGAAAGGTGGATTTCTCTCCCTCCTGATCAGAGTGGATGTAACTTTGTATTCTGCCTCCTTGGTTCCTGGCTATCAGCTATTTCCAGCAGTAGCTGCTGACCCATTAGAAGTAGGACAGCCACATGCCACCCCAGTTACCAGGGCAGGAAGCAGTGACTTTCATGCCTGGAAGCCAGCAGGCCCCTTAACACCACCAGGCAAAAGTCTAAGAATGTTTGAAACAGATGGCCAATGCCATGGGTCCTTATAGTCCTCCATGCTCAGAATCTTCTAGACCACTGGTTCTCTACCAGGGGTGATTTTAATCCCCCAGTGAATAGTCATTGATACCTGGAGACATTCTTGATAGTAACAGTGGTTCAAGAAGGGGGATCTGATGGACAATAACTAGGGATGGAGATAACTACCCCATCCAGAAGAGCTTCCTGAGCAGGCTTAGCTGAAACCACACAGCATGGTCTCCTGATACAGCATATGGTCTTTGGATCTGTGTTTCCTTCCAGCTGGTAGTAACCATACATCCCCGGGAATCAGTGAGAATTCTTCTGAGGAAATGGAAGCCAACTTCCGTTGAGAGCTACTACAGGTCCTTGTCCACAGTCTGAGTTCTATGCAGCTTTTCCCACTGCTGCCCCAGCAGGAATGGTAGCACCAGGAGCTCGGTGGCAATCCAGTTGCCACTACCGGGGAAGCGGGGAGAGGGGGGATGGACATAGATTGACATTCACAAAATAGTTACTACTTGACAAGGCTTGTCTTAATTAGGGTTACTATGGCTGTGATGAAACAGCATAACCAAAAGCAACTTGGGGAGGGAAGGGTTTGCTTGGCTTATGTATCCTGAGTCACAGTCCATTACGGGAAGCCAAGGCAGGAACTCTGGCGGGGTGGGCACTTGGAGACAGGAGCTGATGCAGAAGAGGGGAACTGGTGTAGGCCTCTTTCAAGAGGCAGCCATGCATGTAGAGAGCACCTAGCCTAACCAATGCGGAGCATATCAGGCTGGATTCAGAGATGCTGTGTTAATCATCCCTCGGCTCTTCCTTTAGCTTGACGGCACCAAGGATGCTGTATGTCGTG